ACCTGGACTTTGAGATGTAAACTTTGAAAACCTGAACACAAACTGTATTCACATTCTATGATAAAGAGCCTTGTCCTGCATTAGAAACACTGAATTTGTCACAAAAGAAGCTTATATGAGTGTTAAGTATTAAAAAAATACGTAATACAGACTGTAAAAAGTTTCAAAAAATATCAGGAAAACTCATCTCTGATCAATATTCAAAGGGAATGAGCTGCTCAGAATTAGTTTGTGAACATTAGTTTATCAGTTGTTCTGTATGTGACGTGTCACTTCCCTCAAAAGGTTAGGAACCACTGTGTTAAATCACAGAGCAAACCCTCCCCGGTTGACTCAAATATCCTGTAACTCCTCCTGTGTTTTCTATGAGTCACGCAGTTGATTCAAGACGTGCCGTGGGTGATAATTATTTTCCTGGTTTTTGTGCGGTGGTGTTGTAGAGGAAAGAACTTCTCCAGAAGTGGTTATCAATTGAGGCATCATGAGTCATCAGCCTGTTAGTGTAAAAACGTGTGTGTGAACACATAAAGTCTGAATCTGCATCTGCCGCATCCTCCCTCGTCCCCGAATCTCTCACCGAACGCTCCTCTGAACACTCGAAGTGAGTGCAGTGTGCAATCAATCAGTGTCGTTAAACTGTTTCCTCTGTGTGTGTGTGTGTGTGTGTGTGTGTGTGCAGCAGTAAATCCTCCGGCAGCGTGAATCTGTCATGTGTCAGAACGTGTTGTCATAAGCAGATATATCTCCCGCACTGAACAAAAAAAGAGGAGCCTGGTGTTTTTTTGTTTTTTTTAACAAAATGTCTGTTATTGAGGAATCATTGGAAAATCCTGACATACAACAAGTTGTGTACACAATCAATAAAGTGTTCGTTTGTGATTTATGGCGTCAGATTTTATACAATATTCAGATTACAGTTGACTGGATGATGTTGAACAGAATTTTTATACATCTCTATTATGTTTCCTTTCCCCTAGAAAACAGGGAGATAACAAGAAAAATAAAATTTCTATAAAAAACGAGAGCAATTATGTAATAAATATATGCTTTTCTAAATACAATTTTATGGCACAAAACGTATTATTTGATTATCAAAGCTCTCCGTTCTTGTTCAGCAAAATGGGTCATAATTTCTGAATCAATGGTTCGTTGATTTCAGACGGTGGAACTCAAAGCAAGTGTCTAATTTCTAGCTGATGGTTATCGATTGTCCCAGCTGAAATGACAACTGTTGCTATCCACTAGTTAATTATGCTAGAAAACTAGCAAAAATAGTTAAAATGGTTGAAAACGGGCTTCTGAACATGAATTACGAGGCACGTCAAATGCTCCCCGTCTTTACATGTTTCCAGTTTACTTTTTTTAAAAATGAGAAATATCTTAAATTTGAAGGCTGCATCGCCTCCATTAGGGGTTTTCATGCCACAATAGATGCACAATGGGGCCCCAATTTAAGAGGAATTTGTCGTAAGGAGTCCTCTCTGCTTCATTTCGTTTATTTTTATGTTTGAAAAGAAAGAAAAGTTGTCAATTAATGATCAAACTAGGATAAAAATTACAATCAACATCTTACGTTGGCACAAAATACATTTAAAAGTCTATGTGATGTCCTTGGAGCACTTTCGGGGCAGGAGTCCTGTTAAAAATGGCTTTTAAAACTGGCAAAAATTTAATTCAAGTATTCTAGGTTTTTCTGGGTTGAAAAACTGAGTTCGGTGTGAGCTCTGCATTTTCGTTACAAAAAATATTTTGATTTTCGCGTTTAATTCAGCCCAAACCTTTTGCACTATTTATATTTAATTTCCACTTGTACAGTTTATAGTTTTTAGTTAAGTTTAATTTTCTGCTCATATATTTGCACTCCATGTCCTACTTGAACAATGCATAGTGTATATACTTTCATTTATAGTTTTATATCTTCTATTATATTTTGTATTTTGTAATATTTTATTTGTGATATTCTTTGTATTCTTTTGCACTACTTGCCCTATTGCTGCTGTGTCAACCTGAATTTCTCCTAAGGGGGATCAATAAAGGAAAATCTTATCTTAAATTGCCACAAAACCTTATTCTTGGAGCACTTTTGGGGCAGAAGTCCTGTTAAAATGGCTTCTAAAACTGCCAGAGAGAGAGAACTACTAATATCTCTGATGTGTTCTGATGTGTATTAAAGTATTTCTGATTCTGTGTTAGAAGCTGTTTGACTCCTTCCTACAAAAAACTGGAGACATATTTAAATAATTGTAAGATACAACCGAGTTTGTTGAGGAAGTAAAGCAATGTAGTTCACCTGTGGAGAAAATGGCCGCCCTTATTTCATCTCTTGTTGTTCCAACTTACCCAGAAAAAGTGATAAAAGTTAAAATATTGTCCTCCTTTTTCTGGGGACCCTCTATAACCCACTCCAGGACCCCCTGCTGGTCCCCGGACCCCAGTTTGAAATGGTGTGAGGCTAAAGCTGTGTGTCAGAGATGGATGCTAGCATGATGAGAGTCTGACATGTTTCCTATTTTTATTTAATAATCCTGTTTGGCTGCTTCGTCTCACACACCCGGACAAGCAGGACAGGAGTTTAAGATGTATGTCTTATTGTTTGTAGTTTGGAGGAAAATGTTTCACTTCTGATGTTAAAAGAGAAAAAAGGGGTTTTCAGATGATGACTAACCGACTTTAAATGCTATCTCTGCTGACGTTTGACAGAGCGTAAACGTCCCAGAATCTTAACAGCAGAACATGAGCAGGACAGAGCTGCGAACATTATACTACACTGTGATTTATCCTCCAGGGGAGGCTCAGCTAATGGAGATTACACAGTGAAACCTGAATGTGATAAAGAGATGATGTAGTTCAGAAGATGCAGTAGTTTTAGTGGATCTGGTCTTTTTTTCCAGTCGGAACCGAATAAATGCTATTGGACAGACCTTTCTTTATAAATTCGGTGTTTGAAGTTGTGTCAAACAGCAGTATTTGTGTCTGTAGGATCAATTAACATAATCATGATTACATAAAGGCTCATCAATACTGAGTAGAGTTTTGATCGGGTCCAAAAAATCAGCCACCAAAAATTACGTGAGCTGAAACAAACCCAAACCACAGAGGCAGTTTTTGGGGCCGAGTCTGACCCAAACCCGAGTTTCCTCTAAGTCAGCTAACATTAGCTGCACAAGCTAGCGGCATCTAACGTTAATGTTAGCGACAGCTAGCTTCTTTTAGCAACGGGTCCATCAGGAAACTCCATAAAT